AGCCAGGAGGCCACACCTGGCAGACGTGGTTACTTTGCTCCTTAAAAGGATCAGCCCACTACTTTGTCTCTCTCTTGGCCTTCTTTTCCTTTCCCCTCTTTCTTCCCTCTATTGGGGCACCCCCTTCCCCTATCATGTCTCCCTCTCTCCTCTTTCTTCATCTCCATCTAATAAACCTCTTTCATGTAAGATCTGCTGTGTGCCCCATCATTTATTAATTGATCCCAACAAGTACTCTCTGCCAGCCACCACACTTGCCTGGGTTTCAACAAACACAAGACCAGATATTTATACCAAGAAACGCTTAAACACCATAACCCCAGATGCCTAAATTCCTGCACAAAAACACAAATGTGTACAGCTAAGGCAATATGCCTCCTTAAGAACTCAGTAACCCCTTTACAATAGGTTTTGAAACATGCAATTTAGCTGAAGCACAAGACAAGGGCATCAAAATAAAGAAGATATGAATGCATTAATGAAGACTATGAAAACACAAACAATTGAATGAAATAATAAAATCATTTTAAGACATAAAAGTAGAAATAGAATCACTAAGGAAAATTCAAACTGAAATAAAACTTGAAATAAAAAAAGAGCCTCACCAACAGATTAAAAGACATGGAGAGAAAAAAATCTCAGATGTTGAAGACAAGGCAGAAGAAATGAGTAACTCACTAAAAAAATATAAAAAGGTAAAATCTGAAGAAGTCCAGGCATAAAACGTCCAGGGAATCTGGGACACTATGAAAAGACCAAATCTAAGAATGATAGGAATAGAGGAAGAAGAAAAACACAGGTCAAAGGCACAGAAAATATTTTAATGAAATCCTAGAGGAAAATGTCCCTAACCTAAAAAAGGAGATGCCTATAAAGGTTCAGGATGCATATAGAGCACCAAATAGATTGGACTAAAAGAGAAAGTTCTTTTGGCACATAATGATCAAAACACTAAACATACAGAACAAAGAACAAATATTAAAAGCTGCAAGGGGAAAAGACCAAGTAACATAAAAGACAGTCCTATTAGAATTACATCTGACTTCTCAATGAAGCCTCTAAAAGCCAGAAAGGCCTGGACAGATGTTCAACAAACTCTAAGAGACTATAGATGCCAGCCCAGACTATTATGCCCGTCAAAACATTCAGTTATAACAGATGAAGAAAATAAGACATTCAACAATAAAAGAAAATTTAAGCAATATCTATCTACAGATGCAGTACAGATGCAGAAGGTATTAGAAGGTCAACTTGAGAGCTGGGCGCGGTGGTGCACCCCTGTAATCCCAGCACTTGGGAGGCAGAGTCAGGCATATATCCATGAGTTCGAGGCCAGTCTGGTCTACAAAGTCCAGGACAGCCAGGGCTACACAGAGAAACCCTGTCTTGGGGGGAAAAAAAAGAATGTCAACTCCAACCTAACAAGATTAAGTACATCCAGGGAAACACAGGGAGTAGATAGCCAGGTCACAGAAGCTCTTTCCGCTTCAGTTTCCATCCTTCAAGCCGTTCTATCTAGCCAGCATAAGATTTTTCTATCAAATGCCTTATTGGTTATGTTGCTTAACCGTGTGAAGTGTGTAAGCAATGCTTTCCTAGTCAGTCAGCAAACTTTCCTCTTTAGCCATCTTGCCTAGCTCCAGGAGTGCGATTTCCTGGAGTACCAGAGGCAGCTTACAGAGTGGAAACAAGGCAGAGGTCCCAGTTTGGGAAGGGTCAGGAGTCTAGGCTGCTATAGAGGTGGCCAGCAAGAACCAGGCCCTGACCCCAAGACTGTCTTCACTCTCAGGCCACCACAGTGTAGACAATGAACCTCCCCCATCATTACCCCCAGTCGGTCCTTTCCCAAGTGTGAGTCTGGCATAAAGGATATTTAGTCATGTTTCTGGAATGACTCTTCATGCCCTTCTCTCTGCACTGTTTCAGAATTGGGTAGGAACTATATCTGATGCCCAGGTTTCCATAACAGGATGAAGAAACGGAAACCTAGCTCGAAGATCTCTTCTCTTGCCAAGATTACATAAAACAGAAAAATATACCCAGAGGAACATGTGGTGCTTCCAGCAGGGCTCTGGGATTCTGGAAAGTCAGAACTCCTAAATGTGAATAAGAATTTAGATTCTACTCAGTAGCCTTGGGATAGTGGTTCATCAGATATCACTAGCAGTAGACATTGTCCCATTTTCTTGGTCAAACTCTCTTTCTGCCCTGTTTGAGCTTCTGTCCTGACTTCCTTCAGTGATGAAGAGTGATATGGAAGTGTCAGCCAAATAAACCCTTTTGTTCCCCAAATTGGTTTTGGTAAAGTTGTTTCATCACAGCAACAAAAACCCTAACAAAGATGATGCTTCCACCGAGCAAGCATGGTTGGGAAGAATGAAGCAGGAGCACATAGCATAATCACCTGACAGTACAGCAAATACATCACAAGTTCATTAATAATGGAGATGCTTACAAAAATCAATGGGAGGATGAGGCTTGAGCATATAGTCATTTGCTGTCAACATTATTAATTTACATGGTGTAATTTCTAGTAATAGCTGTATTTTAGTAATATGAAACATTTAACATCAATTCCTAGAAGCTAGCTTGAACATAGCCCTGCCTATGAAGAGGATCAATATATACATGTATATATGTTATATATATATATATATATATATATATATTTGTACATACATATATAATGTGTGTATATGTGTGTGTGGAGAGAGAGAAACAGAGGCAGAGAGATAGTGAGAAGAAGAGAGAGTGGTGGATTGCAATTATCTATCTATCTATTGACAGATTTTGTACACAGTGAAATGCTTGAAGCAAAGACTTGTAAAATTCTGACAGTAGCCTGTAATATCAGAGATCCAAAAACAGAGTATTAATACCTGATTGTGTGTATATATACACACACCATTAACAACCCAGTCATTTTGACCCTCACAGTAAATCCAAGGGAAAGGTAAGCAAAAGGAACAGAGGGACTAGGAAACGGTAACCATTTGCAGGTAGAACTGAGACTAGAAGTGAATCCTGAGGCCTTCAGTTTGCTCATGCTATCCTGTCTGTATGACTTTTGACATCATGGTAATAGCCACATACTGTGCTCAGGCCATTACATAAACTGGGATGTGTTTGTCAGGCCTCTTCCCCCAAGCTCAGTCTTGAGAGCTCCCATATCCTTACAAAGAATGAAATAAAGTTGGAGGTCCAGCAAATGGCCTGGCTAAACTTTGGTGACGGTCAGACTTGAAGGCCTCCAGGAAGCTTTGCTCTGGTATTCATGTCCCTGGATCCCAGGAATCTGAGATGGTTGACCATCAACACTTTGCAGGAGTGATGGCTTGTGACATCTGCAGCTAGTGGGCTGGGGCCTTGCCCAGATCTGCTGCCTCACCTGTTCTGGTGAGGTGGATGCTGGTACCTGTGGAGAAGCCCGTTTTGAACGGACTGAGCCCTCCCACCAACAACCACCTTTGCTTCCCAACACTGTGAGTTATCCATCCATCACAGCTGGGGAACCTGGGCTGCAGTTCAGTCCTCAAAAGACATCTGAGAATTCCCAAGCTTGGATCACCCAGATTAAGTATCACACACACACACACACACACACACACACACACACACACACACACGGGTGGGTGGGAGGAGGGGATTTCACTGTATAAGTCCAGTTGCCCTAAAATTTGCTTTGCAGTCCCAGCTAAACTTGATCTCATGATCCTCCTGCCTCAGCTCCCAAATGCTGGGAATGAGGGTGTTGCCACCACACCGGAATAAAAGTACTATCAAATTCTTGACTCACAGATACATGGAGAATTCACCCACATTCTCGCTGTGTGTGGCCACCAAGTTTGGGATGACTAGTTGCACAGCATTATAATTTGGATATAAGGTGTCTTTTTAAAAGTTTCACGTGCCGAGGGAGTGGTCCCCAGCTGGTCGCGGCAATTGAGAGGACACAGACTTTATCTATGAATGAATGAAGCCATTGCTAAATTCAGGAAGTGGGGCCTGGTTGGAGGCACTAAACCGCTGGGGTGTGGCTTTGAAGAGTGTTTTTGTTTTTGTTTTTGTTTTTGTTTTTGTCCCTGGACACTTCCGCTGTCTGAACAGAGCAAGCGAACCCGGGCTTCTTGAACGGTGCTTCCGTTTTTCACAGGCCTAAAAACAATGGACCCAGCTGTCCAGGACCCAAACTCCTGAAATGACGATCCGAAATAACTCTGTCCTCCTTAGAGCCGATTTCTCTTAAGCATTTTGTCACATGGGAAGAAAAACTGACTGGCACACTCCCTGACGAAGACCATCATTCCTGTCGGAGCTTTACCATCTCCGAGGCATGGGTAGTTTCAAATACGGAGCTGTTGGGGTCCCACAAAGCACCTTGAAGACTTAGGGTTTGTTTGTTTTTTTTTTTTCACCAAACAAATAAACAAACAAGAATTTTAAAAAGTTGAATTTGAAACCAACAACAGAACGCTGTTGTAAAAACATGACGTTTAACTGTTAGTGGTCTGTAGAGACCTAAGCACAGAGCACAGAGTTCTAACAGGCAAGGCGGAACTATGGATTCATCCATAGTCCACCTCACACCAAGAAGCATCTCCCAACCCTTCAGAGGGCACCGGCACCTTCAGCCACCTTTCATTCTCGTGTGTCTCTTCTGAAAAGGTGCACGTGGGGCAAATTGCTTAGGACATTAATTACGAAGGGAGGGGACAGAGGTGCCTCTGCCTGTCCCCAGTGGGAGTCTTTATTAAAGACACCTGCAGAAAGCCAGCTCAGGGGGGCCCCTGAGCCGTTCTCCACCCGCTGAAGTTCGCTCCGCAGAAGCTGGCTGACGTCTCCACCCAGAAGCAGATCCGCGGCGGCGCCCGCAGATCTGGTCCCGGTTCCCGGCGCTCCCGGGAGGCCGCGCGGACCGGCGCGGAGCTGGGGAGCCGGGGGCGGGCGCGCCCAGCCTTTCCAGGCAGAAGGCAGCGCGCCCCGCCCGGGCGGCGCCCAGCATGGAGTGGGAGCTGAATCTGTTGCTCTATCTGGCGCTCTTCTTCTTCCTGCTCTTCCTCCTGTTCCTCCTGCTCTTCGTGGTCATCAAGCAGCTGAAGAACTCGGTGGCCAATACGGCCGGGACGCTGCAGCCTGGGCGCCTGTCGCTGCACCGGGAGCCCTGGGGTTTCAATAACGAGCACGCAGTGTGACCGGGCTGGCAGGCTCTCAACACCGCCGGAGTCCAGGTACACCCCTCGAGGACGGGAGGCAGGGGCATGCACTCTTTGTTCCTCCCGGGGCTCCAGACCCGCCCCAGAGCAGGGGACCGCGGGGACAGGAGTCTTATCCCGGAACCGAGTTCTTCTAGAGCAAGCGTGATTCTGGACGAGGGGTCAGCTTTTGGGGCGAGAACGGGATGCGCGCCTGCGAACTCTTCTCCCCAGACCAACTTCATTTGTATCTAAGAGTGGAAAATTCTATCATTCGCTCAACTCAGTTCGGCCACTTCCAACAAAATTGCCTAAATACAAAGAGTGTGAGCTTTGCTTTGAGGGGCGTTTTAATGGTGGTGCCCGGGAGAAATGATTCGGTGGTCTCTGAGGAGGAGGAGGATTTCCTCCTACTTTTGATCGCTCCTCCTAAATCTAGCCTGTGGGTTGTCAAAGGCGAGCTTAGCCTCTGGGAGAGCAGGGGGCGAATATGAGAACGACTCGCTGGAAAATGACCTTTTGATGATGGTACAGAGGGCAGGCGAAAGGGCTGCTTTGCATAATGTCGGAAGAGCAGAAAGTGTGATGGGAGAGGCCCATTCGTGGTTACTGTATCAGGTCTTGGAGAAGGCTGACCTCTTGGAAAAAACTCACCTGTGTACAAAGGTCAGACAGTGTCGGTTTAAGACATCATTTCGTCCATCATATCCGATCGCTTTTTCTAGGTCTGCGTCATCATCTGGACCCCGTTTGACGCCCTTCACTGGTGGAGCCCAGGACCAAAACTCCTATCACAGCCTGGGAACCCAGTAAAGCTGGGGTGGTGGAAATCTTGCAAAAGGTATGTTGGGTCCTCTCACTAGAGCTGAGTGTCTCAAGATCCAGGGCCCATCAAAGAGAGGGGTCGGGATGCAAGAAACAGGTACCAAGAAGGTGAGGGCTTCCTTCTGCTCTGAGGAGGAATCAAGAAGCCAGGGTGATTTCTGAACCTTTGCAAAAGTCAGTAAGACTGGGGTTTGCGAGGATTAGAAAGATAAGTTGGGAGCACTTGCAAATTTAATATCCACCTTCTTTTTTGAAAATAGTTCAGAGGTTCGAATATCCTTGGCCTTCAGAAGAGAAGATTTAGGGTTAATTTTTTCAGGCTAGGACAGACTATGACATGGAAACACTAATTTTACACACACACACACACACACACAGAGAGAGAGAGAGAGAGAAGGAGGGGGACTATGGAGCATTAAAACTCATATAACATTAAATTTTGCGTAGGCTGAGAACACAGAAGCTGCGCAGAGGAGAACTGCTGGTAATTTAAACAAAAGGAGAAACAGGCCCATCTAGGTGAGTAAGTATCAGAAATGATTTTGGCCTGAGACAATATGTTGATTTCCCACAAATTCTACTTCATCCAATAAAACTGATCCTAAATGAAGACAACGGTTTGTTTTAGCTACTATGTCTTGAGTAAATTTTCTTATCATGTCTTTATCAGAGCTATGGTAAGGCTTGATTTTGATTCCGGTCTGAATTCCAAACTCAACAGCCATGAATCTGCACTGTGGTTTGAACAATGGTCCTCTAATTAGCTGCTATCTCTGCATCGATGTTTTGTTACAGCCCACATGATTTATCTGAGCATGGAGGATAAACGTGGGAGTGATTAATGAGCAATTATGGTCGTTTATAAGGACAGAAAATAATCATTTCATGCCTTGTAAACAATCAGAATATAAATTATTTTAACCACCAGCTTGGCTTCTTGACTTTGTAAAACCTTCCTGGCTGTCCCTCGGTCCTGGGGTCCAGGATGTAGTCTGCCTTAACTCTTCTCTGACTGGAAAGAAGAGAAAACTTGGACATCTCAGGACTAGGTGGATGATCTCTCTGCAGTTTTAGAGACAAGGTGCTGAGGAGGGAGTGGCTGTCATGCCACATTAGGGTCAGGGCTATTCTGTTACCACCACACTAGCCAATTTGTTAATTACCAAGTTTTCATTTATATAACCCCACCCAAGGATATTTATTCTTCTCATATGACTTCTACCTGGAATTTACTTCTAAAACACAGCAATTAGAATTCCCCACATCTGCCCACAGAATGTGTTGCTGGAGTCTTCTGCCCTGTCCTTCAGTTAGAAATTCTGCCTTTGAAAGTTTGACCTCTGTCAAAGAAATATCTTTTCTAATTCTTTTATCCAATCACCATTTTCCAAGACCCAGCACAAGGTTGATCCCCCAAAGTAGAGATACTTTTTGTTCGCTTGTTTTCCTGAGACAGAGTCTTGCTATGTAGCCTGAGCTAGCCTGGAACTTGTTTGGGGGCAAGAATAACCTTGGACTTAAGGTGGTCATTCTGTTTCTGGTATTATATGAGTGTGCCACTATGCTTGGCTCAAAAAACTTAAGTTTGAGCTGGGCACAGTGGCACACACCTGTAATTCTGGCACTTGGGAAGGCAGAGGAGGTTGGATCGCTGTGAGTTCAAGGCCAGCCTGGTCTACAGATGAGTCTACCTGAATCCAGGATAGCCAAGGCTACACAGAGAAAACCTATCTCGAAAAACAAAACCGACAAACAAAACAAAAACAAGAACAAAAACAAACAAAAAACCTTTCATTTGAACTAGATCTAATGAGCTGACATCCACAACATTACTTCCAGGTATTGATCACTCAATTTGTTGACCAGACCCTGGTCCTGATAGCACCGTCAATGCTAATATATGTATGAATAAGATTGATCTCACTATGGAGTCCAGGCTGTCCTATACCTCAGCATCTGCCTGCTTCATCCTGATGAGGATGTACCAACATGTCCGGCCATATTTTAAAATATTTATGTATCTTGTGTCTGAGTGCTCTATTGGCATATATGTCTGCTTGGCAGAAGAGTTTATTAGATCTCATGATAGATGGTTGTGAGCCACCATGAGGATGCTGGGAATAGAACTCGGGACCTCTGGAAGAGCAGCCAGTGATCTCAACCACTGAGTCACCTCTCCAACCCACCTGGCCCTATTTTGAAAGATGAGATAAATATGAATGTTTAGGCACTAAAGCATTTAGTAAGTCAGTAACATTTAAAATAACTGCTCAATTTATAAATGTAATTTTCTTATAAAATATTGTTTCATTTTCTTTTTTTAATTTATTTGATTTTATTTTATGCGCATTAGTGTGAAGGTGTTGGATTCCTTGGAACTGGAATTGCAGACACTGTGAGCTGCTATGAGGGTGCTGGAAATTGAACCCGGGTCCTTTGGAAGAGCAGAGAGTGCTCTTAATCACTGAGCCGTCTCTCCAGCCTCATATTGTTTCATTTTCAACAAAAAGACTTTACAGACATTAGAAGGCAGATTTCCTATACTATAAGGAAATGGGCCATAATGACAAAATGCATTATTAGTGTTTTATTTCAAATGTTGCTACTTAACAATTAGGTATAAATTTTAGTTGTTTAAAATGACTTCACATATTAGGACAATCTTGGTTCTTCACTAATTTTCAAACTTGTAGTTTCAATGAATCTACAGTTTTGACTAGAGAAGAACATATTCTAAGTTGAATTTATAAATTTGCAAACTCGGATAAATTTGCAAATGTCTGATAAAGTAGGTTCCCGTGCCTGCGTTTCAATTACAGGGCAGAGGTATAGCTGCAGGCCTGGTGCAGCCCCAGCTTGGGGGCAGGGGGTGAGGGGGGGGCAGGGGGATTTGCCCAGAGTGTGCACCACACAGGCCTCTGGGGAGGAAAGGATTTGTTTTTGGTTCATTGCAGAGGTGGAAACTTGGAACAAGGTATGCAAGAAACACGCAACACCCTATTTTTAATGTGACATTCTATGTTCCCAATTTTGCCTAGTTTCAGACTAAGCACACTAGAATTCAATTATAAACGATGAGGATTTTGAACATTGTGAATGGTTAAGCCATTTAAGGATAGTGAAAAATGGTTTTTTCCCCCTCTAAATCATACAATCTAGGGACTTTTAGAATTCTAGTCATACTAATGCAGAACGCAGATGTATCTGCAGACCTCTGTACTGTCAAAATAACTTTAGCAGAGAGTCTGTGCTATTTCAGCTGAATCCGCAATTAAAATTCTAAGACTGACAGACCAGTCAGGTACCTGAATTCCATACCAGGGCAAGTTAAGAATTGAGTGAGTTCTGCTTGTTTTGTTTTTTTTTTTTTTTTTTTTTTTTTTTTTTTTTTTTTTTTTTTTTTTTGCTTGAACCGGTTACACAAATTCTTCAAATATCCTCATGTTATTTTGTTTACATAAACAAATAAGAGCCCAGATTAAATGTTAATCTAGTTGTCTGAATAATAAGCACTTTCCCAAGTAGGAAGCTGGCTAATGAGAAAGGCAGTCTATGTTAGGAAAGAAATGATGATGAAACAAACTCTAAGGAAAAAAACCTCCTTCTGGATGAAGCTAATCAACCCCACCTCAGCAATGTTTTTTTGCAACAGTGGATTTGTTTTGTAATGACCCCTCCATTCTTGTAATGAGCTCTGCCATTCTTAGCCTGTCACAAAGATCTAGTTAAAAATCTCTACACTTAACCTTTGTTCTGCTGGCATTAACTCCATGAAGCTACTTGAATTTATTATATGGTCCAGGTTGTTCAGGCAAGATTGTTTTACTACTGGAAGAAATCTTTCTCTCCCACTGAAAAATCAAGAGGGATTGTTATCTTAGCGAAGTAAGAAATTACTAAAGGGGATTGAACAAATTAGGGGTCTTGTTATTTCCCACGTGACTCATACTTTATATGAGGTGGTGTTTGTTTTTCAGGTTCTTACATGGTCTCTATGACTCCCCACAAGGAGAAGGAGGCCGGAAGGAAAAACAGAACATGCCAATGTAGATGATGCCTTCAACCAAAATCCGAGCTCTCTAGAGAAGGACAATGGTGGTGGATCTTGGGTGTACAACAGGGAATCTATGCCTTGGTTACAAAGCACAGCTGTGCAGAAATCATAGTGTTCAAGAAAGATGAAACTTGTGGTCCCCCACTCACAGCTTGTGGTTCCCTCACAGCCCCAAATGTGGCTGATCAGAGTGAAGATGTCTCCCAAGTTCTCAGGAAATGTTTGTCAGGATTGGCTCTCTCTCTGGCAGTTGTCTTCCCCTGTACCAGGATTTTCTAAGTGAGTACCCGGGAAGCTTGCACTGTGTGTGTGTGTGTGTGTGTGGTGGTGGTGGTGGTGGTGGTGGTGGTGGTGGTGGTGGTGGTGGTGGTGTGAGAGGTTTTCATGAACTCTTCGTGGAGGTTTTCATGAACTCTTCATGGAGCTTTGGTGTAGGATCCATGTAGGTAGTTTTGTTTTGCTCCTTTTTGCTCTCCTCCATCATTTTCCTGTTAATTATTTTGGTCATAACTAAGTTTGTGTATTTGACCCCTACAAAGGCCATTCCTTCCATACGGAGTGGAAGGCACTCTGTGCTCAGAAAGGCTACCTCTCTTCCTTCTGCGACTCCACCCTCAGTCCAGGAATATCCCAGGAGATCGCTCGAGCTGCTTCTACTCACAGCCTACGTACTGGCCAAGCAGAGGGAGAAGAAACACTTCCCACACCCAGAGCTGTGCAAAAGAACTTTCTGTGATATGAAACTGTTCTATATCTGTGGTGCCCAATACGGCAACTACTAGTCACATGTGTCTAGTAAACACTGAAAGATGGCTAGCGGGGCTTAAATTTTATTTAATTTCACCGAAGACAGCCACATGGGGCTTTTGAGGGTACAGTTCATACCATTCTCTCTTTTGTGTGTGTGTTTTAGAGTCAAAGTGGGGAGGTGGTAGCTAGCCCTGAACTCCCCATTCCATGGTCTTCACTGCTCTTGTTGCATTGAGTTTTTATCCTTGAAGAAAAAAGAGAGGTAGTATGTTAGAACTAAATTGAAAATGTTATCACCTATTGCATGTCTTCTTGTACCAAATGGAGTAGGTTTTAGTAATATGTGATTGTGGGGGGGAAAAAAAGGCAGTGTTGATTCTTCACATCCCCCTGAGCCCAGTCCATGCCCTTGACAGAGGTCATTTTGTCTTATGCAGCTTGTTCCATTTTAGCTCACTTTTTAATATTGTAAATGCCAAACTACCATTCTCTGTGTGTTTTACTAACTACCTAATGGTTCATATTTTTTAAGGTTGTGAAATAAAAAAATAATAATTATATGTAACTCAGGTTTTTTTTTTGTGTGTGTGTGTGTGATTTTTAGTAACTTGCTGTAACCCAAACCTTGTTGTATTGATTAGAATATGATAAATAAATGGAAAGAAATGTTGGTTTTCACGTCAGATTTTCTTTTTAGTGGACGATTTTATATTCCTTCCAATGAATGTTATCTTTTAAAAACATTAAATGAGTTTTCTGTTATGTTCAAAGTTTGAGTAAAGAATGCTGTCTGCAAGTTCTCTGTCTGGGTTGTTGTATTGAGTTGTAGGAATTACTAGAATGTCCCTGACATATTCCTTTCACAGACACATTTTCTCCCACCTTGTGGTTAATCTATGAATTTAATTGGAAACATTTTTAAAGGTGCATTTTTAATTTTGATGTTTTTGATTTAGCCACTTTTTGCTCATTGCTTTCTGTGTCCTCCTTAGGAGAAATTTGCCTACCCTGACCTCACCCTGGTTACCAAAACTATTCTGCTCTGCTTTCTTCTATGATAGAAGTATAGTTTTAACTTTTACAAGTCTATTATTCATCTTTAATTGAGTTTTGTATATGGTATGCAGTAGCAAATGACTTTCCCTTTTCATATAAATATATCTTCCCTCAAAAAGTTTCCCTTTTCTCATTCCTTCCTTCTTCCATTTTTCCTCCTTCCCTCCTCTCTCTTTTCCCATCCATCCCTTCTTCATTTATTGAACTTACTTTACCTTTCCCACCGAATCACTACATCACTGTCATCAACATCCAATATGTGAATAAGATGTCCATATGTGAAAAGAGGGTCTCTTTCTGGATCTCTTCTGTTCCATGCGGCCCTCCAAATGTCAATTTCTTAGCCACATAGTAGTCTTATCACTCAGTATAAATACTATGAGTGAAATTACTAATACAAGCTCCTAGCGAAAGGCTGACAGTACACACTAGAAAGCTTGAATAGCTTGAATTGAAATAGGATCAGTAAGAAAACTCCAGCAGAGACTAAGCTTCCTTCATTTAAATCTGAGTCCGATCTGGGGGTGTTTCTTGGTCAAGAAGAGTGCCTCACTCTCTAGTCAGTCATGGCAAACAAGTAGTCTCCCTTTACTGTAAGTACAGTTGGAGGCAAGCAGCTTCCAAGGCCTGAAGTCGAAGCTCAGTGATGAAAGTGTCTGCCTTGTGTTTCACTGAGTTTCCACGGTAAACTTTGATTACCTAGTCTGTTTATGAGAAGAGTTCCCTATGTCCATATCCTCTATGCTGCATTGAAATGTTGTGAAGCTGGGAAGGTTGGGTTAGAGATTCCGGCAGTATCTTAACTTGCTATATGTAAAAGTGGTTGAGGATTGAATGGTGTCCAGGAAGGGTGTGTATTTTTATGTTTCCATGAACAGATCAAGTGTGTCCATCTCTTGGGTTTTGAGGATCTTCTTGTCTATAAGCATGACCTACTGAGGGAGGCTTTGTTGTTATTGACGTTGAATACATTTCTAGTTTGAGCATTGACAATTTCTCTTTGTTCTTTTGTCACCTACCTACTTTGTCACAGTGTTCTTTAGTTCTTCATGGGTCTTTGTTGATGCTTTCTGTCTGTTGGAGAATTTTATTTATAGGTAGAAACACAATAAGATTAAATTTTTCTCCTTTCCCTAAGCCCACTAAATTTCTTCATCACAGCTACTAGATTCTGTTGTTGCAGTTGTTACTGGTGGTGTTTTGTTGTTTGTCTGCTTATTTTTTCTTTTTTTCATTAAATTTTTATTTTTTATACTAATTACAGTTTATTCACTTTGTATCCCAGCTGTAGCCCCCTCCCTCATGCTCTCCCGATACTACCATCCCTCCCTCATCTCCTCCCATGCTCCTCCCCCAGTCCACTGATAAGGGAGGTCCTCCTCCCCTTCCATCTGATCCTAGCTTATCAGGTCTCATCAGAACTGGCTGCATTGTCCTCCTCTGTGGCCTGGCAAGGCTGCTCCCTCCTGGGGGAGGGTCAAAGAGCCCACCACTGAGTATAAGATGATCAATCCTTACTCAGAAAGACAAACAGGGTGGACATTGGAAGAAGGAGAAAACAGGAGCCTACCACAGAGGGCCTCTGAAAGACTCTACCCAGCAGTGTATCAAAGCAGATGCTGAGACTTATAACCAAACTTTGGGCAGAGTGCATGGAATCCTATGAAAGAAGGGGGAGATAGTAAGACCTGGAGAGGACAGGAGCTCTACAAGGAGAGCAACAGAACCAAAATATGTGGGCACAGGAGTCTTTTATGATACTGATACTCCAACCAAGGACCATTCATGGATATAACCTAGAACCCTTGTTCAGATGTAGCCCATAGCAGCTCAGTATCCAAGTGGGTTTCCTAGTAAGGGGAACTGTCTCTGCTTATTTGTTTTAAGACATGGTCTCAGTCTATAGACTAGGCTAGCCTTATATACATAGCAATCCTCTGGCTTCCCTTACTGCCTTAGCTTCTTGGGTGCTGGGATTACAAGCTTGAGCCACCATGCCCTGCATGACCATCAAATTGTTATCTACCCTGTTAGATGCGAAATATATATTTATATATTCATGTACATATCTACACTTTAAAATCTAAATGACAAACTATATACATATTTTGTACTTTATTTTTAAAATGCGTCAAAAATTTCATATTTATAATTCTAGTTACTTAGGCTTGATTCATAAGGAAAAAAGACAACAGTTCCTTTCTTGTGGGGCCTGTTTATAGTGTGCACATGTGGCTTCCTCTTTTTAATGATTCTGTAGTATTCCATGTACACAAATCATTTGCTTAACTAACACTTTCTTAATGTACATTTAGTTGTCTAGCCTTTTGTCATGACTAGTAATACCACATAACCCTTTGAAATAAATCTATGATTGAAGTACATGTATCTATAGAATACAATACTAGACGTGGCATTTCCGGGAACATACATTCTGTAAAGCTTTGTAATAGAAAAAAAATTAAATTTTTAAAAGGGAGCAAAATTTGCTCTCATTTAAAAATTATATATATTTATTTTAATTTATTCTCTTTTATTCTTTTTGTTGGTTTGCTTTTTGTTTTGTTTGAGACAAGGTTTCTCTGTGTAGCCTTGGCTGTCCTGGAACTCACTCTGTAGACCAGGCTGACCTCAAACTCACAGAGAGCCACCTGCCTCTGCCTCCTGAGTGCTGGGATCACGGGTGTGCAGCACCAGGCCCTGGTTTAACTTATTCTTTAAAGTTTTCATAGTGTGGGAGAACAATTTTAGCATTATTGGAAACATTAAGTAAAAAATAGAAAGTTTTAAAACGCATCCCCTTCCCAGAGTAGCGCAGTCTCCTCTGTTATTCTTAAGATCCTGTATTAGTGTGTCATATTTCGTGTGGGTGTAAATTTTAAACTTCTGTGGGTAAATACCCTGGAGCTCGTTGCTGGATGACAGTTGCTTTGCTGTCATTGTCAGGTTGATGTTAACTGGTGTCTGCATGGCTTACATTACGATTCACTTCTGTGTTGTATTTCTGTCTGTTTTAACAAATTGATGTGACATGTATTGCCATTACTACATCATAAAGACATTTCGCCGCCCACAAAATCAGGGTTCCATCTCTTCATATCTTCCTCTCCTCTGCAAGCCCCACGCAACCACTAATCAGTTTGCCGTCTCCAGTTTTCTCCTTTCAGAGAGTCCCGAAGTTGGAACAGGTCGATTGCAGTTTTTTTTCAGATGGCTTCTTTTTTCATTCAGCAATTAGGCATTCAAGCTTCTCCCCTCTCCTGCCGCTGACCAAGTGCTCATTTCTTTTTTTACCTTTGACTAGTATTTCAGTGTCTGGCTATATTAAAGTTCGTTCATTCACCCACCGAAGGACATCTTGCTTGCTTTCAGGTTTTGCAATTATGAATAAGCCTTCTGTACACTTTTCCATACAGGTTACTGTGTGACCAAACTTTTAGGCTTATTTGTGCAAACACCATGGAGGAAGACTGTGGGGGGAGGGGGGTGTGGTA